ATCTTTATCATTGGCTTGATCCTTCAATATAGGTTGTGAGTGTCTGTGGTTTTGTCGTTGCTCTTGTCTTTGTTTCTGCCCTTGTATCTTGCTCTCTGTATTTTCATTACCCGCTCCGCAGTGGCGTTAAAAGTTCATGCAGCCGCCCACTGTATATTCACGCATGCGCATACGCATACGTAAAAATTAATTTTTATTTTCTGAGCAAAAAATAAAACTCAACAAATAACGATTATTTTCCGAGCAAAAAATAAAACTTAAAACTTATTTTCCAAACAAAAAATAAAACTCAAAAAATTACCATTATTTTTCGAGCAAAAAATAAAACTTAAAACGTAACGATTATTTTCCGAGCAAAAAATAAGACTCAAAAGATAACGATTATTGTCTGAGTAAAAAATAAAACTCAAAAAATAGTCGTTATGTTTTGAGCAAAAAATAAAACTCAGTTAATAAGGATGAAAAAGTGATTTTTATAATAAAAGTTATAACCGTTACAGTCCCTTGTTTAAACAGGGATCTTGCCATGATGCTAATTGTGAAGATGAAAGTCAGGAGGGTACATCCGACATTTGCAGCCTTGATGCACTTCTCAAAAAGGAATTATTGCACCGCAATAAAAAAATAAATAAATATAGCTAAAAGTCCTCTCAACTGGTGCAGCGTCGATCGCAAAGAATTTACAATTTTGTCAAGGTTAAAAGTTTTCGCCTCGAGCGAGTAGCTGCTTAGTGGCACAGGTTTGATATACGCGACCCTTTAAGAAACAGACTCTTACCCGAATAGGCAACAGCATTACTTTTTATTAAAAACAATATTCCAATTTTTAAATTCAAGCACTAAAAAGAAAACAGTATTAAAAATTACTTGCTTTTCCATTTTTTATTTACCTAATCGCCTAATTTACTCACTTAAATTATTTATTAAAAATACTTGACATCCGAATTCGCATCCGTGGATGTCTAAAATTCCACATTCGCAACATCCCTAGTAGTGACTATTCACTACCACTAAATTTAGTTATAGTGAAACAAAATACAACTATCACTAAAGTGTTTCGCTGAATATTTCCATTACCACTAAGCTGGTGATAAATTGTGAAAAAAATAATTTCTTCCAATATATTTATTGCTAGTGAAATGCCTAGTGGTGCACTACTCCCAACTCTGTTATAGACTGCCTGGTATATGTTATGGAGTCGATAACGATGTTTAACCTGCACTTAGGGCCGCTTGTTCAATGCCTGATTAACACAAATCGGAGGTAGAAAGTACAGCGGTTAAGTACAGCGACTGCTTTGCTTGCTTTTAATCATTAATTAGATTAACATTTTGCCAACCGTGCACGTACAAGATGGTCCGAAATTTTTACAGAAGAGAAAAGTCGGTTTATTTAAAACTTTCTACAAACTCGGAATTTTTACTATTACTTGTACATAGATATTATTTAATATTACCTTACAGAGTAATCTATTATTAAGCCTGGGTAAACAAAATATAAATTCTTCTATGAGAAGTTTCGTAAATATAAGGAGACTTTTACTGTTTCATTTATTTATGAACGTGTAGCTTGAGCTTTTTTGCAAAAAGTGAATTTGTCAAAACTTAAGCAGATATAGTGTGTACGGTAATTTTCCAAATAAGATCTCTGAATAGAGTTACTCCTGAAAATTATTCCAAACGAAAATTTAAAAGTGATAAAAAGCCAGAAGTACATTTAACTAGTTTCTATTAAAGGTTTTAAGTTCACCTGAAATATAAGTATGAAATCATAAGCAATGTAAATAAAAAAAAACAACAAATTTCAAATTAAACTCTGAGCTTTTTAAACACCCCAATGAGAACACTTGACAGTTGTTCATAAATACAAAACGTTTAACTCGAGTTTATGGCTTAACGTGAACATACTATAACTCTTTCGGTTTTGTATCAGGTGGTCGTCTACCTTCAATGAATTTCCAATACAACGACATAAAGTAGTTTATGGGACCAGTGTTACTGTCATGCAATGCGAGAAATTCAAAAGTCTTGGTCTTGTTGACCTACCTTCGTACTTTGCTTTACTTACCGCCTTTGCGACTGACTCAGACTAGTAAGTAGTAAGTCTAAAGTATTTAATCGACTCTCCCACAATTCGACTTGATCTGAGAAAGCTTCGAATGCTGCCGAATTTTTAGCCGACTGTAGTAAATACTGGTTATCGCCAATTTTATTCAACACTTCCTGATAGTCCTTGATAAGCGATAACTCGTTGCCCGCGGAATCTTTTTGGCTGGTAAGTTTTAGGACAGCCAAAACAGACCACTGATCCAATTCGGTCAAAGCTTGCCGCACTATTTGCTCAGAGGCTGCTTTTTTCACCAGATTTGCTATTTCCACAGATGTCTGTTGCAGTGCGTTATAGTCGTCCAATATGTCACGCAAATATAAATTGTGAATGAGCTTGATCTCTGTTTTGTTTAACAACATAAAAATGCAAGCCCAATGCCGTTCCGTCAAAGAATCAGATTGCAATTGTTGTAGAATAGGCATAACGCTCTGTAACTGTTCTACGCTCTGTCTTATACGCTTTGAAGGCAGATCGATAGATGCGTGAACAGAGCTCTCCCACTTGTTGATAAACTCATTAAGAACATATGGGCGGCGCCGATAAACGGCCCATTCTTCGCCGGTAATGGCATTTAGTTCACACAGATAGTTATCGTAGATTTCCCATTCTTTCAATTGCGCCTGGACTTTATCTTCAACTTTGCTGAAGAAAGCGAGCACTTCGGGGGAAAGTGACATATTGAACTTGGAGAATTCTTCAAGCAGTTGCATTTTCTTTGATTTTATCTGTTGCCAATGCTCTTGACGTTCCTTGAAGAGTGCCAATGTGGAATTTTCATTGCTCTCCAGCTCATTAATGGTCGATTCCCAACGGAGTAAAAACTTTTCGGCTTCATTTTGTAAATTGTGCATCTGCGAGTGGGCTTGGTCTTTAATCATATCAACTTGACGTTGGAGTATAACCGCATGGTTTTCGATTAAGGGTTTTAGTCGTTCCCATTGAATAAGAATATTTGCCAGAGCTGTTACACGCTCTTTGCACCAGCCGGCGAGGCAGCTGTCTTTTTCTTTGACCACTTCCAGAGTCCCTGATACCTAAGGCGGAGAAAGACAATATTTTTTCAAAAGTGATAAGTGGCACTGAAAATTGCATAAGACCGAAACTAAGTTTGGACAATGGAAATTCATTCCAAAATGCAACAACAAATACTTTGTGCTGAACGTAAGAACAGTTGTGTTAACCCTAGAATCGTACGACAGTTTTACCCTACGTTATTCGTAATATACGTATATTTTACGTACTACACCAAGTAGGTATGTTATTTTAAATAAATGTTTAATAAAAACTTATTTATTTTCTGTATTGATTTTATTGAAAGAAAATATAAAGTTTTTTGATTCTTAAACTAAATTATTGAAAAATGTATGGGACATTCACCATACACACCGTGCATATTTTAATTTGATGCTCACCACATTTAGAGCAATAAGTAGTTGTCATCCGTTTTTTACGTGCACACTTTTTTGTGATAACGATGAAAGCAAACCGCGGACTGACAACCGATTAATTATTCACTTGTTTTTGCAAGACTGCCGAGCGCACATAGCAATTGGGCATAACGGTGAAAAGTATGCGGCGTACACGTAAAATTTACGTCAATTAAGAATGCAGGTTTAATATTGCGCTCTCTGATTATATAAGGGGTATTTTCGAAGTCCTGCACTTTGCACGGATTGCACAAAAAGCAAAAATACTATTCCAAATTTGCAAGAGTACGAGTGCTCCCCATTGCAAAATTAGCTAGCATCAAATGTCTGGGATAAATACAACAACATACAGCAAAAAATTAAGTGAGCGAAATCAGAGTAATATGAAGCAGTTCCAACAACAAAACAAATAGCACATTTATCTTGCTATGTTTTCTTGAAAAATATATGCATGGGCTTAAACTGTAAACGCTGCATATTTTGCGGCAATAGGAAATGTTGTTTCCCATGTATTTTGTTGTGGTATTTACAAATTATGCAACGGCTTTGCAATATTTCAAGAATACCCCCCATTATGAACACATCAGAAATAGGTGTGTACTCGTACGCCCAACTATCTAAAGTTTTAGAAAACTTTTACTGGTTTTGCGTTCTTGTACCCAAAAAACTTGCAAAGTAGGGGAAATTGAGAGAGCAAAATGTGAAAGAGAGCTGCAAATTTCTGCTCGAAAAATTTTTCCCAGCTAAAACTTGCAAGTAAGAAAATCAGCTGATCACAAACACATGTTTGTAAATAAACAAAAGAAAATATGGCCTTTTTGAGTTATTATTGCAATTTTTATTATTAATGCTAGTATACAACTAAAAAGTGCGTAAATTTAATAAGCACAACATTCATTGAGTTTATTTTTCGTTAATTTGCTATTAATCTCCAGTTTGTTTACTTTAGTGTGTGCTGACTATGGTTGCCGTATGACATTTTTCGTTTGTACCATAATTTACCTTTAAACATACCAAAATAGATTTAAATGCAGCATGCTGAAATGTTGTTTTGCTGAAGTTTTCGGTTTCGGTAGGTTGATTGTTGAAATGAAAATTTTAAAATTTTAAACCTACTCTATTACATTTTTTTGGATCAATGATGGGTGTTTGGAGGAGATACTATTGTTTTTAATGCGTCACCATGTGATATCAAAAATAATTATGAGAAAAATAACTTATTCATTCCGATATAATTAAATCGTTTTTTAAAAAGGTTTTTCTTATCCAAAACTATTCAAATGTATAAAATGCCAAATCGGAGGAAAATGCACCAAGCAGAAAATAAATTGCCAAATTAATCACCAGTGGCAACTGTGCAAGTGATCAGCTGTTTCGAAGGTTGCAAGTTTTTGCAAATTTTGCGTTCTCGTACTTTTGTTGATATTTCGTCTCTTTGAGAGCGAATGCTGCTAAATTCTCTCAATACGAGTACACACCTAATATGTGCAAGTACACGTACCTTCGGTAACTCCGACATCATTTTTTCGTACTTCATTCCCGATTCTGTGAGGGATGTGTCGCCCATTGGTACATTATTTAAAAACTGCAGTGAGTTCTGCAAGAATTCTTGGATGGTGGTAACATCATTCACAATAGCGGAGCGTAAGTTGTTGGTCAAAGACTCCCAATAACGTTGGCTAATCAATTCTATCTCTGAACGTAAGGGCGAAGTGTTAATTATAATGCACTCAATTGACTCTTCGCAACTGTAGGATATGAGTTTAAATGAAATTATAAGAAGCTTTTAAAAGTAAACGGAAATAGGGATTTACTTTTGAATTGTAGCGATTTTCTGGCTGAAATTCTTGCAAGCCCTGAATTCACAATCCCAATCCGATGCTTTGCTAAGGTGTATACTGCATAGTTCTTCGATGTCAACACAACCCAAGGCAACCCAAGGAAGCCATATCTTCTTGAATTGTTCAAGCTTTCGAAATAGTTCCTCGGCGTGTTCAAAAAGGGGACCGAAATGATGACGATTCATTTCGACCATTAACTTAAAAAACTCGGTGCTATTGTCAGAGAGCCCTCGAAAGCTACTGGGGCGTTCAATAAAGCGACGAAGCTGGATAAAATATTTTTCGCGTATCTCCTCTTCGGAAGGGCGGAAACAAAGTTGACGTCGCCTGAGAAAATAATAACAACATAATAAACAAAGTAGTCGGATTTTTCATAAGTAAGCATACCTAAACGTAATATCTATGTGTATATCCGGCAGCTTATTTCTCATATCTACTAGACCAATGATATACTGATATTCCAACACCTTGTAGAGCTGATGATCCCAATGTAACTTAAAAGCGTCTAAGTTTGTAAAACTCTGACGCTCTATTGTGGCGACTAAGTCACGTAGATGGCGCATTTCATCTTTCCAGGCTTGAGTTTTCGTAAACAAGTCGGTGTTCATGAGTCTAATTACCTGATACAGAAAAATATATTATTAAGTTTATTTCTGTTTCAGTTTACACACCGTTCTTTTGGCTTGCTCGTGGTATCCTACTAGAAGGGTATTGTCTGCAGAGAGCTTGGACACAGATTTTTGTAGCATATTCACATAACGTTGCACTGACTCCTCATCATTCCAAGCGACCGTCTGGCTTTGCACCATGTTCGACAGTTCAACCGCATTCTTTAGCATGATGGGCCTTTGACACGGTATCATACGATCACCAATAGTGTTGTGGAAAGTTGCAATCTGTTGCAAGCGGCGTGCATAGCTTATAAATTTTGCAGCATGCGTGGATGATGAGCGCAAATCAGTAGGGACATTGTAGCCAAGGTTCTCAAACTCACGGACATCCTGACAAAAAGTTACCAGCTTGGGATTGAATGTGACTCGCATTAGTTGGCGACCTTCCTTCTCAAACCTGACCACTGGCTGATCTTCACGCAATCTGCAAGCGAAAAGTAGCTCATGATATGAAGAAACTGCAGTAAGATTATGTGTGTAATGCGTATTACTTTAAATCTCCACTCTTGACGGATGTTGAGCACTGACCACACCAAATTTCGAAGTTAGCACGTAGCAGGGACTCAGTCTCCTCTTTTATTTCTCGTACGGCTTTGTTGATTTTGTCATAGCCATCGCGACCGCTAATTAAATGACTCACTTTCTCGATTTCTTGGATCTGCGAAAAAGTGCCATAAGCTCATTGATTAATCACTAAAATTGTGCTGTAATACCTGATGTTGCACGACTTTCAGCCAACGACACTCATTACAAATTACAGATAGATGACCGGTTTCTGGTTCCATATTTGTATCGGACAAGGCCTTGCGTAAATCTTGCAGCAGAATCAGCAAAGACTGTAGAAATTGTTCACGCTCGATTGTCAACAACTCAAGTCCAGCTGTCCTCTGAATGAGTGTCTCATATTTTGAAAAAATAAATATGACCTGCCTAGGATTTCTAAGGTGATTATGAAGTAGAGCTTTGAGCGCGGAGGCGAGGCGTTCATCGATGGGTTGCAGAATTTGCTCAAAGCATTGCAAAGCTGTATTCCATTTGGTCTGACCCAGAGTAGTTGTATCAAAGATATTAATATCTGGGGAAGGCAAAATGTTATGCAACTATTCCATAGTAACTCTTGATTGATTTACTCCTTACCTTTAAATGGCGAACTCTCATAGAGCATACACTTCATTTCCTCATCGTTCAATAATGTAGCAATTTGTTTGTAGAGATTTCTAATATTCTTAATCTCTAACAGACGTTCTTTAAATTGTTGACTACGTTTGGGAACGTGCGGCACACCTATCCACGGATGCTGTGCGTAATTTGGCCAGAAAAGACGCGTTAGCGAGTCACACAGTTGTATCCAAGACTCGGTGGTGTCAATGCATAGGCTCATCAACGCGTTCACGTGATGAGAACTAAGGCTCCATATATCCTCCGTTTGAAGTTGTTTGATGCATTCTTCAAGCAATCCATTACCTGTTGAGATAATGTATGGATAGATTAATATTGTATTTAATTAAATTAAAGGATTGTATAATACCAATGCTATTCAATAGATCGGCCATGCGCTCCTGGGGATATTGGTAAGGCAATCGCCATAGCTCATCGAGGCTATTGTGTGAACTGTCTAAAAACTCTTCGATGCTGGTGGCAGTGTTGCGGTAGTTCATTGAGCTTAAAAAAATGAAAAAGAAAAAACAATTTAGATATTTTTGGATTTGGTAATACTATGTTCACGTTGGGCCATTAGCTCGAGGTTAACGTTTCGAGTTTATGAACAACTGTCAAGTGTTCTCATTAGATTGTTTAAGAAACTCAGAGTTTAATTTGACATTTGCTTATTTACTTTTTCTTATTCACATTTAGCCTGTTCCCGTAGTCCAGGATTTAGACAGAATTAGTACGAATTAGCCGTGCTGTAGAATACCAACCGTTTAGCAAAAAAACAAAGAAAAATGTGACTCGATAGAAATTTTCATGCTGATTTCAACCAAACCAAGATTATTTGGCGCAAATAAAAACCAAAGGCAATAAAAGGGCTTAAAGGTAAACTTTTCTATTTTTGATAACTATAAATATCTCGGAAACAATTTGACCAATTACAAACGTATTGAAGCAAATTTAAAGATAATTTAAATACCTTTTACGCAACGTATGCAGTATAACCGTTTTAATAATAAACGCCATTTAAAAAAATATATGTTTATATATATTTTGGTTATTAGTGGGGCTCGGAATCTCATGCAAATGCATGTTTTTATTGGGTATGTTTAAATCGAAATTGTTAAATTATCTTTACGAGTCATGAAATTTCCTTTAAAATGGCATTCAGTCGTTAGTGCATATTTTGCAGTAATTGCATGATACCTGTTTTAGCATATCTATACTAATTATATAAAGAGAAGTCCCTTTTTTTTGTAACAGGTAATCTCGCGAACGGCTGGTCCGATTTTCATGAAATTTTGTATACAAATAGTTTTCCGGTAGCCACCATGTTTTAGGCTAAAAAATTTTTACTTTTTTTCGGGTAGGTGGACCAGGGACCAGTCTATTCGAAAAAATCTTATTATAGTCCGATTTGCTTAAAATTGAGTACGTAAGTAGCTTTTTAGAATATATTAGCATATATGACCCATTTTTTTCGGGAAGTGGTCCAGGGACCGATCTATTCCAAGAAATCGCATTTATGGTCCGATTTGCTTAAAATTCGGTACGTAAGTAGTTTTTTAGCATATATTAGGATATATGGTCCATTTTTTCCGAGAAGTGGACCAGGGACTGATCTATTCGAAAAAATCGTATTTACGGTCCGATTTGCTTAAAATTCGGTACGTAGGTAGCTTTTTAGCATATATTAGCATATATGATCCATTTTGTCCGAGAAGTGGACCAGGGACCGATCTGTTCGAAGAAATCGTATTTATGGTCCGATTTGCTTAGAATTCGGTACGTAGGTAGCTTTTTGCCTGGATAAGCTTATAGATTCCTGTTTTCCAATTTTCATGCAATTTCGAATATAAATAGCTTTAAGTAACGACCATATCAAGGGGCGAATTCGTCACTAGGCAAGATTTTTTTGCGCCAATCAGAAACAACGGATACTGTCAAAATATAATTATAATATATAATATATCTCAACCAATATATATTTAGAAAGCCGTTTGTTAGTTTTTGCAAGGCTCGAGAGCGGCTTAACCGATTTTTTTGAAACTGCCACCTGCCGCACGTGTCCCAAGGATGGTTTTAGGCTGAAAAAAATCTATATGTAAAGGGGGCGTGGCACTTCCCATACAAACCGAATTTTTCATACTGCTTATCTCTGGAAATTTTTTGGTAGAGTTCTAGAGTTTTGTATGGAGATGTACGAAATAAATCGCATACTTTTGGAGAAAAATTGGAACCATTGGAAAAGGGGGCGTGGCATCTTCCATACAAACCGAATTTTTCATACTGCCTATTTAGGAAGTGTTCATGGTAGAGTTCTGGAACTTGGTATGGAGATATACGAAATCAATCGCATACTCATGAAGAAAGAGGGCATCTCTTGGAAAGGGGGGGCGTGGCACCTTCCATATAAATCGAATTTTTATACTGCATATCTCTGAAATTATTCATGGTACAGTACTGGAACTTCGTATGGAGATATGTATATAATTGAAATCAAGCCCATACTCATGGAGAAAATTTGGGCTATTTGAAAAGGGGTGTGAGGCCTACAAACGTACCGACCTTT